TATAGATTCTTAAATTTGAGAAGGATTTTAATATTATTATAATAACAGCTTTCATTTACTCTTATTGTATGTTGGGAATCATTCTGAGTGTTTTACATATTTTATCTTGCTATTCAGGAATGAGAAGAATGAACCATTGATACACTCAAGCAACATGGTTAAATCTCAAAATCACACTGAGTGAAAGAAGTTAGACAAAAAGAGTGCATACTGTATGATTTCATTATGTAAAATCAGGAAAATGCAAACTAGCCTACTGTGACAGAAACAGATCAGTGGTTGCTTAGGCACAGGACAGGGTGGGAAGGACTACCAGGGGACATGAGAAACCTTTGGAGTGTTGGATGTGTTCATTATTTCGATAGTAATGATGGTTTCATGGGTATCTAAAAACTTATCGAATCATATACTTTAATATGTGTGGTGTATTATATGTCAACTATAACTCAATAATGCTTTTTAAAGGGAAAATGTAAAAAAATCTAAGCCTCCTTTTAGTAGGAAAATAGATGAATAAACAGTGATTTATTCCCACAATGGATTTTTATGCATAGTGAAAACCAATAAAATTGATGTACATATATCAAAATACACAATGATTAAACAAAAAGTTCCCAAAGAAGTTGTGGTAGATGATTATGGGTGCTTTGGTGGTGGGTGTCATGGGGTAACATATATCTAAAGAGATATATGTTTATCTCTAAATCATATACAGTATTGCAAGTTACTTCAATAAAAATTTATAATAAAATTTTAAATATATACAACAACATTGTTATTTTGTTGGTGTGTGCGTATGTCAGAAATGTAAAATTGGAGTGACACATGTTAACTTTAGTTCTGTGGTTCATGGAGGGCAGGAAGGAGGAACGGGTGGGGGTGGTGTATTGGCTGTACTTATAATGCTTAGATCCATAGCAAAATGACGACATTTTTAACATCTGTGAAATCTGGGTAATGATTACATGGGCATCTGTTATATTATTTTCTGTACTTGTCTGCTTGAAATATTTCATAATTAAAAAAATTAAGTAATTCTCTATCCCATTCTTAGCATCCAGTTCCCCTTGCCAGGGTTCCCCTTACATGTCCTTCTGAAGATATTCTAGTACATATAACTAGAGGTGTTTGAGTACACATAGGGAATTTTGTTATACAGTACATTTTTTTAAAAACAGGATACAATTTGGAGCATATATACACTGTACTGTATATTACTTTTCTCACTCCAAGATTTGGATATAGTTTTAATTCTTTGTATACAGAATTTTCTTATTCTTTGTAATATTGCTTGCCATTCTGTCAAGGGGATAATTAGCTATTTCCCATTTTTAGACATAACAGACACATTATAGACACATACTTTGCTTATCTGTCTGGGTGTACTACCTGTGCTTTAAAATAGGCAATACCACAACACATTCAACCTTTTCTTAATTGTATGTACCAGATCTTAAGTACTACCAGCATGAAAAAACTAGTGAGTGGCAGACTCATAATATGAATAGGATAGTTTGCCTCTTGTCTGTCTAAATGATGCCAGAGAAGCTATCATTTGAGCTTGTATTTTTTATGTTTTCTGTTTCCTCTTGGATGCCTTGTTTCTGGCTCCTGCTTTTCTCAAATTTGGTAGCACCTCCCCCCCTACCATTTTGTTGCTTCTAAAATGCCATAGGATTAAAAAGGCAAACAATCAACATTGTTTAGACTGTCACTAAAATAAAAGGCAGGGGCCTCCCTGATGGCATAAGGATTAAGTCTCAGCACTATCACCACTACGGCCTGAATTTCATCCCGGCCAGGGAGTTAACCCACATACAGAGCAGCAGACTGCTCCTGTCTCACCTGCTGCTCCCCATAGCAGTGTATTTCAGTAAAACTGCCTGTTCTATCCCTAATCTATCTTTCCCCTCTTCTGGCAACTTCTGGTAAATCCTTTCACCCTCTGCTGGCACTTGTGGTCTATAGCCCAGTTCTTGTGTGTATATATAAATAAAAATAAATCTTAAAAAAAAAAAAAGGCAGAAGCCTCTAAGAAAAGACATTTTTCAGATAAAGAGTATGGGTTTGACTGTGTGGTTTTTGTTACCTCTATGTTGGATATTTCCCAAATCCTAGTTGGTCTGAACAGGCGAGGTTACATACATGACAGATGCCTGATCCATCATCACCTGGTATGAGCGCAGGGATGGGGCTGAGAGGCCACCAAGGAATTAACAAGAACAAAATGTTGCATCTTGATGTGTCCAACTGCAGCGAGGAAACTCTTTTCATCCTAGCTCTATTTCACAACATTCTCTCACTTAAAAAAAGTAATTTTGTGGTTTCACAGGAGAGCAAGAAGTCTTCCAGGTGAGGGGACCACAGTAAGAGTCAGATATCTGGGCAGTGTAAGAAGCTCAACTTTTCTTCCTTGACTAAAAATTTTACTCTCTATACTCTTTATTTAAAGGGACTTTTACATTACAAAGTTATTAAAATAAGAGTCTAGAAAACAACTCTTAGTTGTTTATTGTCATTAGTATTACTAATGACAATAGTAGTAATTTCAAATATTTATTACAGTTTCTAAAGTATCTTCTTACTAGGGAGTCAGTGTACCCTAATGGTGAGAAGCTTAGCATCTGAAGTCACATTGCCTGGCATAAGTGTGGTGGCCACTTACTGTGTGGCCTAGGGTAGATTATCTAAATTCTTGGTGTCTTGGATTTTGCACGTATAACATGGGTATAAAATAACTACTTACTTCACAGAGCTTACAAAATGAGATAATTTAAAAAATGTATGAAAGTCTAATCACATGTTAGTGCTTGACACGTACTGGCTGAGTGTTTGATAGCTATAATTTATTATCATTACTAATATTATCGTAGTTGTACTAGCAAGAATTGAAATAAATAAATTACCAAATCAGAGTTGGTAATCTGATCAGTCATTGGACATAGGCTTTCAAGTAGTGTAGAGCTATCTTTTCATGAACAAGAGAGAGAAATTATGTTATGTAGAACAAACAGTGTTAAGATGTGAGGCATGTGAGGTCTGCTTAGACCACTGCTGGGTGCTAATGTGCTAGTTCCTGGTCATGAAGGAAGGTTATGACTTGAATGGCAGGGTGGTGGCTGAGGATGCATGGAGTAAAGAGGAATCTAGTAGTTACTGGAACTGTGTCTTGAGAGTTGATTGTTAAAAATGAGGGTATTTTGCTAGTTGGTTGTTACACAGCCATTATTTAAAAATAAATGAGATCAACTTTAAGTAAATTATATTAAAATGAAGGTAATAAATATTCGAACCTTATCACATTAATTTCATTTTACCATTATCCATGCTCTTGAATTATTTATGTGTATTGTCTTGGTGAGGTGGAAGTACTTTAGAATGATGTGTTACCGTGTGTGCCTCCCAACTCCATGTTCACTGACACTGTATTGGAAGCCTGTGATTGGTCATGATGAGAGTCTTTTTTTAAGCTAGAGAAACTGGCAAATGTATGACAAGGGTTTGATTTGGTTTGTTGACTGTGTAGATTTAAAAAAATGCTGGAGAAAAATGTTAATAACTCAGATTAAGCTTACAAGTGCATCATGCCTGTAGCTGTTGACATTGAAGAGCACAAAAAAAAAAAAATGAAGCACCTTTGAGTATGCAAATAAAAGACACTCACATCATTGACAAACTAGCTATGTTCTGACACCAGTATTCGTATTTTCACTTTGTCTTACTTGTTGACATTCATGTGGGAACTACAGTCCTGGATTGGAAAGGAGGTGTGACATATTTACCAGTTCAGCAGTGGAGGAAGCACAGAGGTGGGTGGGAAATAGTGAAGTCTCTCTTTTACTGGGTAGGGAGATGAGACAAGCTTCAGGTGCTTTACTGTTAGAAGAGGCAGAGAGCAGGCAAGGCTACTCCTTACTAGCAAGTGGGAGCTGGCTAGATCCTAAGCCTGGGAGAGCTGAGAAGATGGTGCAAAGAGGTGGGAAATGAGCTGGTCTGATATGGGAATGTGTCGTGCTGGCAACACCATGGGCTTGACACCAGAGTGCACACTAGGCAAGGACTACAGAAGGACCAGGTAAGCAAAACCAGTCTGGGTTGAGCAAGTGGAGATCAAAAGGAAGTCTGATTTCCAAATCCCCTGGCCTAAGGCCTAAGGTACCAAGTCCACATGTCAAGTTATAGCTGGCTTGTGACTTAACTAACCTGCCAACAGCTGATAGGCTAAATTCCTCATGCTCAGTGGATATTGCATTCTAGGGGTGGAGATGCATTGGAGTCTCACGGGGGGAAGCCCAGACCACATTACAGAGAGTGGGACAGGCTGTCACTGTGTCTGGAATAGGACCAGGGTTTCTTTCTGCGCCAGCACTCCTCTCCTCTTGTTGGGAGAGTTGACTTGGGTACTTCTAAAGGAAGCCATTTCTAGGATCAATGTGTTGAATGTTTCTATATGAAAGGAGACTCTACTGTGAGGGTCCAGGAGGAAGTGATTTGGGGAGGGACAAACATCACCTGTGGTGAGGCCCTACCCCTAAAGCCAGACCCTAGAGTGCCCAGCTTCAGTCAGGAGGTGGTCAGAAGACTGGAGGGGACTCGGGCAATTGGTGTCCCCATCACTAGCACCTGAAGGGTAAAGAAAATGCTCTCTGGAGACACGTCTGGTATTAGAAGTCTACAGGCCCAGTGCAAGTCTCTTAGGTTTTCAGCTTCTTTGTCATTAGGTTGCTGAACTGTGCTATGCTAAACTGCCCTGGAGGAATTTAACAGGTCTGGGGGGAATATAGGGAGGGAGCAGGGGAAAAGAAGCAGTGCTAAGGGGTGCTGGGAAGCGGGACAGAGGTGGAAGAGAAAGATGGGAGATTTGAGAAGGGGAGTGTGAGAGGAAATGCACAGTGCCTGCTCCATGGGGACATCAAGTCAAGCAGGTACATGGCATTCTGCCCCAACTCTACCACTCAGACCCTCCTTGCACCCTTCCCCATTCCCTCTGTGCCCCTTACCCTGTAGCATTGCTGATGTTGTGTAGTAGTTGAATGGCACATTCTTCACCACATATTCCTCAGCATCCAGGCTGGCCAGCTTAGCTCCCACCAGCACTGATTTGCCTGTGCCCGCAGTCCCCACCAGCATGATGGGCTGCCGCTGCTCCATAAGCCTCTCCATGAAATAGCACACTCGGATAGTCTCACTGGTGTGTACCAAACAAGCCTGGAATGGGAACACGATGAGATTGCCAGGGCTTATGGGAGAAACAGATGCACAGAAAATGTTTGGGAGCATTTCAGAGAGGGAACTCTGCTGGTAAAGTGGAGCTCAGTCTGGAGTGTCTTCCCTGATATCCATAGTAAGACCATTCTTTAAATTGATTGTCTGGGCAAAGAACATCCCCTCCTTTCTCTACTAGCTCTGTCTGCTTCCCTGGAGTCTCTCTGATGTAATTTAGAAAGTTCTGCCCTGCCATTTCACCTCTCTTCCTGCAGATGCTGATGGGGTCTGATAATCAGGTTACCTAGGCTTTGGGGAATCTTATGACTTAATCACATCTACGATTTCCCCTGAAAAGTTATGCAACTGGGGATGATATGTTCCTAGCAAGACCAAAACTCTTGGAGACTGACAAAGGGCTGCCACTAGAGAAGCTGTGGCTTCCTGGGTACTCTGTATTTCCATGGTTATTCAGTCACACTCACCTGCAAAGGCATCTCAGGGTCAAATTCAAACTGGGGGATGAGCTTGGACCAAGGCTCGAATTTCTTGGTTTCTGGATCTATGTAGTAGTCAAAGATGGTTCCCTGGGAAGGAAACTTGACTGTCTTGAACTCTGTCAGCCACCATTTACTGAACTCTGCCCGGTAGTCCACAAGCTGCCAAAACAAAGCAGGTCAAGTCTTTCCAGAGTTCTTGAAATCTGAACAGGATGCATTTGTATCACACAGACTCTTGGGGTGGTCCTGCTTGTGCTGGCCTGTCTGATAGACCAGGGCCTCCAGGAAGAATCCTGCTCCCCTAGGATCAGGCTCAACAAGGCTCAAATGCTCAGGGAGAACCCTGGATTGACCATGTGGCTGAACCTCCCTCGTATTGGTGCATCTGAACCATCATGGGCTGAAGGGATGGAGAGGTGGAGGGGAGGTGAAAGAACATTAAATGGAGTGGGAGTACACCACCACAAGCTAGGCAAGCATGGTCAGGAACTCCTGAAGAGATAGATATCAGTCCCTAAGCCCCAAGACTCCTGGGATACTGAGTAACTTCCAAGATGGCAGGCAGAGATGCGATGACTAAGATGGGGGTTTTTGACATCTGTGGGCACAATGTATTATGTGAGAAGAACCTCACTTCTTTTTTTTGCCCCAGTTCCTCATCTGTAAATTGAAGTGCCTAGAAAAGAAGATTTCTGATATTCCTTTGAGAGCAAAAACTCTGAAGTCTAAGAGCAACAGAAACAAAGTTATACTGTTCTTTCTGACAGAGTATATAGAGACATTTAATTTATATGCATACATATTTGACCATGAGCCATAAGAATAGGCTGTGCACCCACTGAACTCAAATTATCTTATTGTGTCCATGGTTGAAATGTCTACACAGGGCCTCTCTGGTGGTGCAGGGGTTGAAGACAGTGCTATCAAGATATCGCCAGCCACAGCAGCATGGGTTTGATCTCTGACTTTGATCCCTGAGTTCAATCCCCGCTGGCCAGGGAGCAACCCACATGGCACAGCAGACCTCTCCTGCCTCACCTGCTGCTCCTCTCAGCAGTGTATTTCAGTAGATCTGCCTTTTCTGCTCCCCACTCTCTCTGGTGAATCCTATCAAAACCTGCACCTCTGATTTATTTATTTATAAAGAAAGATTTATTTATTTATAAAGAAATAAATCTTTAAAAAAATGTTTACACAAATGCAAATGTAAACATGCACATGTGTAAACACATACACTCCAAAACATGTGGCTAATATTAGTGACCCTCTGGAGAATACAACCTCTCTTTGAACACACAGACCTAGAAAAAAAATCTTTAAAAAGAAAGAGACCCCAACTGGGCATTTTAGGAAATATTTCTGGAAGGCAGGATGAAGATGCAGCCCATCTTCATCAGGGATCTGGGTACATGGCAATGAATCTGGACTTGGAAGGAAGGGCACACCTTATTTTGGTCACACCTTATTTTGCTGTCTGTCAGGTATGTAGGATTCAGTTCTTTGCCTTAAAATGAGACTGGAAGTAGGCTTTCAGGTAAGGACAGATGTTTCCTTTCTTATTCTGCTTGAATTAAGATTAAAGGGATGCTGTATCTTCTCAGTATTGTTCTCTACAATCAGAAGCCACAGGAAAGACTCCCCACTCTCCATTTTAACCCATGGATAAAATTCTTGAAGTCCTTTGATTTCCAATGAAAGCTAGATTTTAAGTTGATATAGAAAATCCAACATGAGGATCACCTTGAGAAAAGAGAATAGGGGGGATCTTCTTTGCTTACCTCCAATTCCCCCTTGAGCTACTTGGTGATTTCCTGAGCCAAGCCATTAACCAGACTGCCCCAATATAGTCTTGTCCCTGTGTAATCTGAAGCTCGACCTCACCTTCTACTATAATTCGGCAAGTTAAAGACAAGGTCATCTCTGGTGAGTCATCCAGTATCCCCTTCTCTGTTTGGCTTTCTGTGTGTCACTGCAGTAATGACCTTCCTGAAGAGACCCATTCTGAAATCCCCATCTCTTTTAGATTCTGACAGTTCTGTCTCTTCCTGCCCTTTGAACTTGATGAGAGGAAGGCTGTAGTGCCACACCACAGAAGAGACTGGAACACAAGGTCACCTCAGCTAGTGAAAGTTGTTCTTAATTTATATATGGAAAGACAAAAGTTTACCCCTCTAGAAGCATATGGCAGACTTGGAAGTTGAACCATGGCTTTCGGTCTCCCAATCCAGTGCTGTCTGACAAATCATTTGCTCCTGAGGAATCATTTTCTGAGATCACTGCAAAGTATTTAGCCAGGATCCCCCATCTTTCTTTTTCTTTCTGTATTTTTCTTTATTACACCTTTACTTAGGTATAAGCTCCATTTTGCATTTCTTTAATGACAAAATGCTTTCTTTTGCTTTGCTCTAATGACAACTTTTAAAGTGTAAGCACCATTGGTGTTCCTGATGTGAATATTATGGCCACTTCCTGCTTTTCAATTTACAGGACTATTTTTGGTGTTTGACTTTAATGCAGGTTGTGTGTGTGTGTGTGTGTGTGTGTGTGTGTGTGTGTCGTCTCAGACATTCCCTGCTGCTAAAAGCTTTCTCCCTTGTCTTCTTCCCATTCACCAACATGACTGCCTACAGCTTCAAATGCTACAGAGCCCAGGACACATGGGAGGAATGCTTTCTCCTGGACTTTTAAGGAGAGTTGAGTAGATTTAAAAATTCCTGTACACAGACAGAAAAATTGATCAAGTATCTTCACTCTGATTCCCCACCAGCACGAGAAGCCAGTAGTGGCCGTTGCCTGGCATTTCAGCAGCTGAAAGAGGGAAGACTGCAATTGATGGAAAGCAATAACCACTGTTTTCTGGAGCTTTGTGTATTTCAGCAAGGTCTCATCCCTCCTGCTGGACTCATTGCCTCTTTGTCTGGAAGGGGAAATGTAAAGCTGACAAAGAGGCAGTCCTCAGAGAAACTCTAAGGACTGTGGGGCAGAATGCATGAGATCTCCAATTGTCAAACTCCCAGTCCCGGCATCCTCCTGCTTCTGGAGACATCCCCCTTTCCCACCAGTAACTAGCTCTGGAGAAGGAGACTGAGAACGACACCTGTTCTAAGAGCTTCAGAGAACTGCTTTATGAACTTTTAGCAGCAAATAATATGCTAAAAGGAGACAGGAAGTGGAATGGATGTTTTAACCAGAGCCTTTGAATATGGAGGAATAAATTATTACTTCTAAATTAATTGATAATTCTCCCAGATTACCTCCATTTTGGATTTGCCCTAAGAGGATGCCCATATGGTTTTGCCCTAGGAGGTCAAAATGTTTTACTTCTCTCCCCAAAAGAGCCCACAATCAACCCAGACCAGAAAGAGTAAATTATAGCTCTCCAGCAACTGCAGCTTGGTTTGATGCCATGTAGTAGAGAGGCACCAGATGCTTGCTATGAAACTGAATATTTATGGTATGAGAATATCAAAAATAAGCACATATGTGCACCAGCACTATTGTAAGTACTTTGCATATATTTATGTTGGGCAAGTAGAATGGTACCCATTCATTTAACCCTTAAAACTATGCTAGGAACTGGGTACCGCTATCATTGTCCTCATTTTCTTTGTACACATGGGGGTAGTAGGGTAGATAGAGACAGGTTAAGTGACTTGTTGAGGGTCTCCACGATAGTAAGTAGCAGAGTTACAATTAAAATCCAGAGTCAAAGTCCTTAACCTCTATAAGATATTGCTTGATAGTCAGTGTAAAAGGCTGGTCTGAATAAGCTTGAACATGTTGTTTCTGGGTCAAATATACCTTATTTGGAAGAAAATAAGCAAAGAAAAAGGCTAGGAATACAGGAAGGGTTAGGGAATAGGATATCAAGATACTTCTAGCCAACAACCCTGCCCACAAACAGCATGTTACTCCAGCAGCCAGCATCAGGAGATGCCACCACCTTTGGTTTCCTACTCCTAGATGTGAATTAACCTTTGGTCCCACTTCTATAGAGAGCTCAGTGATTCAGGTGTATGGAGACATGAGGGTTAATGCTGGACTGGTGCAGAGTGGTATTTGTTTTGGAAGCTTTTTAGAAAGCTAAAGGAATTTCAGCCATTCAAGTATCTACAACACAGCATCATTCTACCTATAAAAAACTCATCATCTTCCAAAGTACTGTACTTACACCTCCAGTTGCTCAAAATCAAACACTACATACAACTCTTGAGGAAATCAGGTTTACATTCACTAACTCAAAAAGTAACAACTCCAAAGAGTCCAATCTCATCTGTGTATGCCACAAGACCCTTCTATGGGGACTGATGTCTGTAGCAGAATAATGGTAGATAATGATATTATTTCATTTGATACTTACATGTGAATGGTGACATGTAGCTGTCCTAGCTTCTAAGTCTTTGCTCAAGGCTCAGTTTTCATTACTGTAGATGCGTACATGGGTGTTAATGTCAGCACAGCCTCTTACCTGATCTTGGACCATTGCTCCACCAAAAGCCCAGATGGCAGCAAACACAAAATAAAGCTCATAGGTTTCCTTGGGGCAGTCTGGGGGGATATCCTCTTTGGTCAGCAGACATTCAAGAAGGTGGCACAGCATCTGAACCATACTCTGCTCTGGGATTGGAATTATCTTCTTAAATCTGAAGAGAGACCCAGATATGCTAGTCTAAGTTACAGGATTTTTCCATCCTAGAGGTATTCTTGTTAGACAACTGTGGATCCCATTTGGTTTCAATGGACTCCTGATTTGTTGTGTTCATGGTGCTACTTCACCTTAATTTTCATTGGTGTTTTGGGACCAGCACCCTTTGTAAAGAAGTATGGGTCCAGAGCTCTCCTGAGAAGGTTTCTTTTCTAATCTTCCTTTCCTGATATTCTTCCCCCCGCTCCTCTTGCTTTCTTTGAACAATAATGGTCCCTTTCAAGTCCCTGGGACATGTAGACAGCTGCGACAAAACCAGTAAATATCTTGTAGTTTCACTCCTTTTCACAGTTTTTTATACTCAAAAAACACTAAAGAACTGGGTGCTCTTCTCACGTTAGTCCTTCCACTCTCTCAGCTCAAATCCCTCTCTCAGAGGTATTTCCTCAGTTAAAACACACTGAAGATGCTTTCTCTGGGGCCTGAGACTTTTCTTAGGGGCAGAGTGAGCTGGGACAGATGGTTATTTACATAATGATGATTTACTTGATGGATTTTCTCTTTCAAAAAATATACCCCTGTGACTTGTCCTGGCCTGGTTTTGTACTTTTAATCTTGGCTTTGGAGGACTCAAAGACAGAGCGATACATAAAGGAACATCCTGCCTTTGTGCATGCACACATGAGCACTGTCATCCCACCACATGTACACACAAAGCATACCACATACCCCACACTCAAGCCCTCCTGCATGCCTGGCCTCTTGGCTACCCCCAGTGGGGAGATGAGTATCACAGGCTGCACAGAGGCAGGTTCACTATTATAAGATGGGCAAGAGACACCTTAAGTCATTTACCAGTATTGGACTTCTGAGTTTCATAGCATTCCATTCTCCTCAGTGTTTTGTGTTTGTGCTTGTTTTTAATCTATCTGCAATCCTTACAACAATGCTATCATGAGGTCTAATAGTCTAGGCATTGCTTCCATGAGTGGTAAGAAAACTGAATATTTGATAGGCTTTCCTTCATTTCTTTGACACATATTTGTAGAAGAGTGTTAGAATGGAGCTACCTCAGGTTCAGTTTTGCATGAGGCACCAAGATAATCAGAACTGCTTATTCTTGCAATTCTGAACTGAGATTACTTACTAAAGGGTTTGCAGGCATATTATCTTCTCAAGGGTATGGATACTCAAAGTGCAAAATGCTGGGTGGATTAGACCTTAACATAGGATTTGAAGAAGAGCTTTTGGTGTGCAGTGAGTGCTTCCTTTCCCATAGGGCAGGGGCTTTCCCTGAATTGAGAACCAGAGGAAAGAGCTTCAACAGGACTGCTCTGTGCTAGCAAAGGAACTGTGCCTGGAAAACCCTGACAAGACTTGCCAATTTCACAGCAGAGTGTTGGGAGGTTGCTTGCTGGTGGCTTTCTGTGCTCCAGCTTATCAAAGCAAAAGAGGACTGAGCATGTCCTGGAATATAGGTGTGAGTTATGACCATGTGGATTATATGAGATGCCAGTAAGGGGGCTACCTGGAGGCATTTGCATGAGGAGTTGTCCAGGACTGGCTGATGGAGAGGCATTTACTCACTCCAAAGAAAAAACATATGGGAAATGTCCAGTGATGGGAGAGGTTCAATAAATTCACAAAAGCTTTGCGAGAGAGAGAGAGAGAGAGAGAGAGAGAGAGAGAGAGAGAGAGAGAAAGTCAGATTTCCATTCCAAAGTACCACAGTTAGTATAACTATGGGCATGCTTGTTTCAGTCACTAAGACATCTTCTGCCTGTGACTCTCTTCTTTCTGTTCTCCTTCAACCCTGGTGTTTAGAAACTACAGCTGATAAGGGGCTGCCTGATAGCATAAGGAGAGAAAAAATCCAGGATATTCACTTTTCACTATAAGAAGAAAACTGGAAACAAACCTGAGTGGTGGGGGAGGGGGAGAAACTTTAATTGTAAATGGAATTCATTTTTATATTTTTCACTGTGTGTTTTTAAATTTTATTGTGTGTGTGTGTGTGTGTGTGTGTGTGTGGTCTGATTGTGTGACTAGAAGTTATCAAACATTTTCTCATTACTGAAAAAATGACTGGAAAAGTCAAGGATGTTTGACCTAGATTTTATCTGAAGGTGGGAGGAGAATCAACAAAATAAACTGGTTTTGAAGAACCAGTGGGAAATAAAATAAAGTTGCTTTATAATAATCCCTTATGAGGCCTCCTTATTCAATATAAAAATTACTGTGTTGATATGAATCAGCTGGATCGCATAAAGCTGGGATAACAATACTGTTATGAATAACATGGGAGTAAGACTTTGAAGTAAGTGTCCTGTTACTAACCAGCTGTGATGCTGAGAGAGCATCATGGAAATGCAGCTCCCTTATCTACAGGAGGGTGGAATGTTGTGAGAATAAAACGAAATATCATGTACAGAAGACACCATAAATGACAGGTATAGTTTTTCCTTGATAACCATTGGGTCAGAGACTGGGAGGGGTAGGGGTTTTGCTGTTTAGACTTAATATAGTCAGCATCTTCAAAACTTGTTTCCATGGCTTGTATATGCACATGAACACATGTGCGTGCATACACACACACACACACACAAACATTCACACTCACACTCACACAAATAATCAGTTTAGTATCTCTTGTTCTAAATGCCAGGGTAGAAAACGACCTAACTTCTGATCAAAGGGTATATTGAACGAGTGTCTCAGCTAAAGATAAAGGACAGTGATTTTTTTAGCTCTTTGTTGCTATTGACCACTTGTGACACTAAGCACTACTGCATATTTTCCAACTCTGCCTGGTGCCAGCCCTGGATTGCTTCATTAGATATCAAAGCCACAGAGACCTCAAACTTCCAGAGGTTTCTCAAAGGTTTGTGCAAATGCTGACATTTGGAAAAAATAATTATTATAAAACTTACAAAATCAAAATGAATAGATGATTAATTAAATATCTAAAAAGATACCATTATGTCAACTATTGAACTGCAACTCAATTTTCAGTTACATAGAATTCATAACAATGGTAGGTTTGTTAGGGTGTAGGGTGGGGCATGTGAAATGATTGTGACTGGGCTCTCTCAACAGATGGTTTCCCTTATCTGCCTCCGTAGTGTGAGCAATTCTCCATCTTATGCTTGACCAATCCATAAGGAGCCTGGGGTCATTTGAGTGAGACTTTACTTTTTGGGAAATGCAATCCTGACCCTAACTTGTGAATCTTTAGAATCTATAGATCTCCGAGTCATGCTGCTTTCACAGCACCAGAATCTGATGGTTGAATTTGGCTGAACTATAGGGTTGGATGCCCAATTCCTAGAATGATGCCTCAGAAAGCAAAATAAAAAGAGAGTACAAAACAAAAGCCTGATTTAAAATTTAGACCCTCTCTCCACAGACACATATAATATTCTTGCTATAAAAAGTATTTGTTTGGTTAAGAGTAATTAACCTCTTATGTGATAAGTGGCCAGGGCTTATGTGATAAGTAGCCAGGACTAGTCAAATGACACCTTACATCCAATCCTGCTAATTATCTGGGCAATGAACTGACTGAACCAGGAATAGGAAGTGGGCCCCATATCACTTACAGGTGTCATTTTCACCTCTAGGTATACTTATCTGGCCTGTATTTCTTTTCTTCTTTTTTTTTAATCAGAGGACCAGCAGCTTGTCTCACAAACTGAAGAATCTCAGGATTGTTATCTGATATTATAACCTACAGCTGCCCATGTGGCATACATGAAAAGCATTTTAAATCTTCCTCTTTACTCTCTCACTCACTCACTCACTCACTCACTCACTCACTCACCCACTTCTTGCCTAAACTGACATGAGGCATCCTATGGCCCTGCTAATGTGTATTCCCCCTCCACCATCTGCTCTGCCCTGAAGGGAATGCTTTAGGGACATCTGACTTTGGGGACAGGACAGAACATCAGCAGGACATCAGGTATGAACCACCAGGTCCTTCATTGCTACTTTAGCTTATTACCTTCCTTATTTCTTGGCCTACCTGGTTCTGAGTGTGTCTAAGCAGGTTGGAAGATACTTATCAAATAGAATGGTTAGGTTGGCTCTCTCTGTCTGGATTTCCCTCTTGTCAATCCAGCTGCTCACTGGAGGGTTCCATCCCAGGTCTGCTGGGTTGATGTACAGAATTCCTGGGAGCATAGGAAATATTGTTCAGTGAATTTTCCATAGATGTCAGTATATTCTTCTCCCAGAGTTATATGCTATGTTTAGAAAATGTAGACAGAACTTAAAAAGAATAGAGGCCTGGCTGAGATCTGAGGTCAATACCATGATGGTTTGCTATTAGAATCAACTCCAATTGGCTGATTAATAGCTGATAGAAAGCAGTGTTGAGAAGGATGCTGAGCTCAATCTAGGCTCCAGAGTAAAGAAAGCTATTATTTCTTAGCAACACTTGCCATGTTGCAGAAGTATGTAGCTGGTTAGATTAGGGCTCCTAAAAAGATATGTCCATGTCCTAACCCCTTGACCTATGATGTGACCTCATTTGGAAAAAGGGTCTTTGCAATTAAGGACTTCAGATCATGCTGGATTATCTGAATGCAACATGTAAGCATCCTTATAATATACAGGAAAGACACACACACAGAGGAGGAGGACATGTGATGATGAGGGTGAAATTGAGGTTATGGAACCATAAACCAAGGAACACATAAGCTGGAAAATGCAAGGAATGGTTTCCCTTAGAACCTTCAGAGGGAGTGCAGCTGGGCTGACACCTTGATCTCAGATGTCTGACATCCACAACATTGAGAGAAAACATTTTTGTTGTTTTAAAGCCACAAAGTTAGTCAGAATTGGTAACAACAGCCCCAGGAAATAAACAGAATAACAGAGACAATTCACTGGACTATGTCACCAACCAAATACAGATCCTTAACAGGAAATCAGACATTATAGTAGAGATCAAAGAGTTTTCTTTATTCTCTTGTCTCTGCTGATAAGTTCAGTCAGTTGAATTAGCAGAAAGTTAAGGTAGAAGTTACTTTCCACCAGGATGTAGTGGAAAATTTCAGTGTTTGGTCATTGCCATTGATAGGCTGGAAGTTTTGGGCCTAGAAGCAGCCTAATACAAGGCACTTGTGTGCAGACAGCAGCATCCTCAGGGAATATTTCTAGCTCAGGGACCATGTTTCTTTCTATTATTGTAGCATTTCTGAATTAAGAAAATTCACAATGATCCTGACCTTAGAGTACTTGCTCAACCTCATGGATATGTATTAGAGCTGAGAGTAGGCCAGAGTTTTGGATGTCTGGCTCCTGTCAGAGCTTTCTTAGGAGCCAGCAACACCATATGTAAAGGTAGAGGCACCTGTTCTCAGCAGAACTTCTTTTTTTTAATTTCTTTTCTTGAGTCATACCTGCTCTGGAGACAGTTGCTGGTGTGGCTGTGTGCAAGTGGCTGATCTCAAAGAGGAGCCTCATTGTGGGATTCAGAGGGATCCTCTCGTTGCTCGCTAAGGTCAACACCTGGAAACAATGGAGGGACATGACAGGTAGGAAGGAGTTAGGGTGCACGGCCAACTGGTAGAATTTGACTGATTGCTCCTGGTTGGAATGATGGATGATTATTCTCTTCTTTGCAATTATACATATTTTCTAAATTTTCTGCATAATCTTTTGTCTCCTCTTTGCACTCTGATATACCTCTCTATCTGTCTCTGTGTTTGTGTTTGTGTGTGTGCATGTGTGTGTGTGTGTGTACTGAATCAGGAAAAAGTTATCTAAAAAGTTTAAGTTGATGTCAATGATTTGAATGAACTAGACCATATTGGAATAATAAGATTATTAAATGAAATGAGTTTAGGTTTCATATTACTACTATTTCTTTTAAAGTAGTCCCTCTGGGAGAACATACATTTATTCTAATGATTTTGTAAATGTTGAAAGCATCATAAAATTTCTACTCTGGTTAGCAGCAGCTACTTGCTTAACAGTCAATTTATTGCCAGTTAGTTTTCATTGTTTATAAAAAATTAAATATTCTCTCCATGGTGAAAGATTTGCCACCTTGAGGGTGTCTGACAGTCTCAGAAGATTCTGATCTTTTTTCCTTATTCATGAAAAAAGGAAAGAAATAAAAATATTTGAATAGATGATTGAAGAATTGTCTCATGTTTAAATATCAAATTAATCTATGTGGATTTTAAAAAAAGATTTATTTATTTATGTATAGGAGAACTGGGGTGTAGGCCAGAGATGCAGGGGTTGAGAGGATTCACCAAAGACAGAGTGGAGAGCAGAATAGACAGATTTACTGAAACACTGCTGAGGGAAGCAGGGGGCAAGACAAGAACGGTCTGTTGTGCCATGTGGGTTAGCTCCCTGGCTGGGGATTGAACTCAGGCTGCAGTAGCAGTGATAGCATGATAGTGCTGGGACTTAACCCCACACCACCAGGGAGATCCTATGTGAAGTTTTTTTTGAAGGAAATTACAATGCTAAAAATGGTGTAGGCAATGGAAGTACGTTGAAATAAGTGAAAATTGTTAATTCTGATGTATCAATTCTGAGATGTCTGTTAAAGACACCAAATAATAAAGCCAGGCTCTTGAAGTGACACCTGTATCCTCATGTTCAGCATTGTTTATAATAGTCAAGACAGAAAAGGAACTTAATTGCCCATTGGCTGTTGTATATACAGTCATAAATCTCTAAAGAAGGTTTCCATTAATGATGGACTTCATATATGATGGTGGTCCCAATAGGCTTAGGTGTATAGTAGGCTACACCATCTATGTTTGTGTAATTACACTCTATGGCATTTGCACAATGATGAAATTACCCAGCAATGCATTATCAGAAAGTATCCTTATCATTAAGCAATGCATGACTGTATAGATATATAATAGAATATTACTCAGCCAAATAAGAAGGAAATCTTATGATATATGACAACATGAAATGACCCGGAGGGCTAAGTGAAAGAAGCAGACAGAAAAAGAATAATATTATCTGACCTTACTTATATGTGGAATCTAAAGAAAACTGAACTCATAGAAACAGAGTAGATTGATGTTTGCCAGGGAGAGATGGGGCAAGGAAGAAGAAATGTGTGAAGGTGGGCCAAGGGTACAAACTTGTGGTTATAAAATGAAAAACTTCTGGAGACTTAATGTACAATATGGTGACTATAGTTAGTAATGCCATCTTAAATACATGAAAGTTGCTGAGAGACTACATATTAAAATTCACCACCACATCCAATAGAAGGTAATTATGTGAGGAGACAGAAATTTTTTTCCCCTTGTTCATTGTTGTACAATATTTGATTTCTCCCCTCAGGTATAGTCCCCGTAATTCTCCCACGACCATATCACCCGTGAACCATCACCACAGTCCCTTGTGCTCTTCCCTCCCCTGCTTGGACCCCTCTCGTTCTGCCCCTGCTGTATGCCTTAAATCTATAGTTTGCCAGCAAATTTTGTCTTTTTCCTGACCTTCTTTTGGTTTCCCTATATTTGACCTATAAGTGAAACCATTTGATATTTTTCTTTTTCCTTCTGACATATATTTCACTTAGCATAATCCCTTCCAGCTCTGAGATGTTAACACACCTTACCGTGGTACTCATTTTGCAATATATACATATTTCATATTCTCATGTTCTGTACCTTAAACTTATACAATATTATATGTAAATAGAACTGGAGCAAGGTTAAAAAAAGAAAGACACTAATAATAGGTTCTTAATCAGAGAAGCCTTCATGTGGAATGTTGATTTCCAAATATGCCTGCCAACCTGGGGAAGGGGGGGGGTAGTTTCATTGATGATCAGAGATGACCTGAGTATTTCCCTCTCTCCCCACCAGCTTACTTGGATACCTTGTTGTCATCCATGACTGTGTTCAATGATTCAATCCACATAGGGTCTATGTCACCATCCAGTAAAATCCACTTGGGCCCATCATGAGTGATGTTGGCAAGTTCCCGCATGATGGAAGAGAACAATCCTGAAAGGAATCACAGATATCTTATTTTCCATTTTACCTTTCATTTAACACAGCCTTTCCCTATTAGCTACAATACCCAGAAGACAGTGTAAACAGAAAAGGAAGGCAAGATATGGCTTTGTGTCTTACCAAAACTGTGACTGTGCCAAAGATGGACAGTGTTACTCCTTGTCTCCAGTCTAGCTTATTTTTAATAACAATGACAATAGCAAAACAACAACAAAATCTAATTGTACTAGCTTATTAAGTGATAAGGGATGCAGCGAATCATTTCAACAGGCAACTGACATAATGGAATTACCTGAAGCCTTTTCAGATAAGGTTTTCATTCATTGTAATTGCAGCCCTGTGAATTTCAAATGAGGGCTCTTTGGAGGCGGTCCAGAGTGATTCTATTTGGCATTACATGAAATTTGTATCTTTTTTTTTTTTCAAAGATTTATTTATTTATACAAGAACCGGGGTACAGGCCAGATGTGCAGGAGGGTGAGAGGCTTCACCAGAGACAGAATGGGGAACAGAACAGGCAGACAGATGAAATACACTGCTGAGAGGAGGAGTGGGCGCTACAGGAGAGGTCTGCCGCGCCATGTGGGACCCTCGCTGGCCGGCCGGGATCGAACCAGTGCTGAAGAGGCTGCGGACAGCTTCGCAGTGCTGCCCTGAACCGCCTGTGCCACCAGGGGAGGCCCTGAAATTTGTATCTTAATCTGGACAAAACTGATTTTTTTACCCTAAACTTTCCAATCAGTAAGGTATGTCTTTCATTTATTCAAATATTATTTTATATTCCTTAATAGATTTTTTATAGCATTTGTAATATATGTTTGGTGAAATATATTCCTAAACATTTCATAGTTTTATTATTATTGTACATGGAATTTTCTTCCTGTATTTCCATTTTTAGCTGGTTACTGCTTATATATAGAATAGATACCAAGTTTTGTACATTTATTTTATATTTAGTTACCTTTAATAAATTTTCTTATTAATTTTAGTATTTTTTTTAAAGATTTATTTATTCACGCATACAAGAACTGGGGTACAGGCCAGATGCGCAGGAGGGTGAGAGGATTCGCCAGAGACAGAGAGGGGAACAGAATAGGAAGACTGACAAAAAACAATGCTGAGGTGAGCAGCAGGTGAGACAGGAGAGGTCTGCTGTGCCATGTGGGATTCTCACCAGCTGGCTGGGATTGAACCAATGCTGCAGAGGCTGCAGACAGCTTCACAGTGCTGTGCTCAACAGTCTGCACCACCAGGGGAGGCCCAATTTTAGTATTTTTTTAAAAAACTTTTTTAAAAATTTTATTTTGTATATTTTTATATCATTTTTCATTTTTGCACAATATTGATGCATTTTCATCTTGGTTATAATCCCTACACAATTCCTACCCCCCTTGTTTTGATCCTATTCCCTTCCCCCCAAACCTCCCCCCCGCCCCGCCCTGTAGTGTGTCTCTGGTTTATAGTTGCTTGTTGATTTTGATTTTTACTTTATTAGAATTAGTCTTTTTCCTGGTCCCTTATTTAGGTTTTCTAAATTCCTGCTATGAGTGAGACCATCTGGTATTTTGCTTTTTCTTTCTGGCTTATTTTGATGAGCATGATCCCTTCCAGCTCCATCCATGTTGCTGCAAATTGCATGAGCTTATCTTTTTTGATTGCTGAGTAATATTCCATTATGTAATTTTAGTATTTTTCAATGTCTCTTGAGTTTTCTAGGAATAAGATTGTATAATCAGAAAAATAATAATCAGAAAAATAAGTATTTTTCTTATTTTCTTTAATTTATACTATGAATTCCATTTTTTGTTGTTTGCCTTACTGCATTTTCTAGAAATAGTAATGCTGGATAATAATGTTGATATGAGGTTTCTCTGACTTATTCTGATTTTAATGGAAATGGCTTTAGTTTCTCATTATTCAGAATTATTATTTTTCCTTAAAGCTTTAGGTAAAGAGTATTTATTAAATTTAGGGACTATCTTTCTATTCCCATGTTAGCATTATTTTATTAGAAAAGACTGTATTATTCTTTTGAGATACTATTGAATTCTATTTAGTGAAATTTTAGTCACAATTCCTGAGTCTATATTATAAATGAAAGTGGACTATTGCTTTTGACTCTACAGAAAGATTGATAATCAAGTTTATTCTAACTTCATAAAACAAATTGAGAGAGATTCTTTTCATGATTTTGAAATTATAATTTTTGCTCTGCTACTATTTTTAAATTTTTCCTTTTTATTAGTTTTCTCAAGTTTTCTACCTCTTATTGAGTAATTTTTAAGTTTCTATTTTGCTAGAGGATCAACCATTTCTTCCAGTCAATTGTATATCATTTAATTACATGTTCTCTTCTGTCTTAATCTTGCCTATATTTAGTGTTGTATCCTCTTTCTACTTCCTACTTTTACACACTTCTACTCCTCCCCTCCCATTAATCATGCTCATAATGAACTTACTAGTCTTTACAAAAATACAGTATTTATTTATACTTCCTATGATTTTTGTTCATTTCCACTGATTTCAGGTTTTATTAGTTTCCTCTTCCCAATTTTCTTCAAGTTTAGTTTATTACCCTTTTAGTGATTTCTTAGGATGGGTACTGATTTCTTTTATTTCTAGCCTATCTTCTGTTATAAAGAAAGTATAGTTTTCCTTTTGCCTCTAGATGTGTCCCATAGGTTTTTGTATTGAGTATTTACCTTTCATTGCTTCCTAAGAGATTATAGTTATATTTTCTCTTTAATAAGGGGATAAGCAAGTATTTCTTGATTTACAAATAATAAAATTATTTTGGGGGCATTTTAATGATATTTGTTACAATTAATAATTATATTACATTATTATCAGAGATTTAATAATTCTATTACATTATTATCAGAGATTGTGACCTGTCGATTAATACTTTCGAGTTCATTACTGGTCCTTCTGTGGTCAACTAAATTTAAACCTTTAGAAATGTTTCATGAACTAACTATATTTTCTCTTTATAATACACATAATATTAGTACAGGATTAGGTAAGTGGTTAAGTGGAATAGAATATAAAACTATAACTATGTATTATATTGAGTTTGAAAATGTATTTCCTAATTCCTCTATGTCAATACTTATTTCTCTGTTGAGACTGTCTAATTTTGGAAAAGGCTTATTAATATAATCCACTACACTTCTATTTTTATATTATTTTTTATTCTATTTATATATTATTTTTATTAAGTTCTCCTAAAAAGATTTAAAAGGTTATACTCCATTTACTTGGACATTTTCTTTTTTAGTGAAGACATATTTTGATTATTATATCTTTATAAATATCTCCAAATTTAATGTATATATTCAATAACACTTTATTTAAAATTCCAAGAGTTTAAAATTTGAATTATATTATGTGAGCTCAAATTTAATACAGAATAAGAAGTGCCTGAGACTAGCCAAGAAAATTATAAAAATATGTTGAGGAGGGACTTACCTCATTATATATTAAGATATGTTATAAAATTATTGTAATCAAAATAGAATGATATTGTACAGGATTAGGTAAGTGGATGAGTGGAATAGAATATAAAACTCAGAATTGTATCTCAGCATATGACAAGCTGGTGTTTAAATACAGATGGAAAGGACAATTTTCTTAAATGGTGCTGACACATTCAATTATCCACATGGAAGGAAATAAAGTTGATTCTCTACCTTATCTCACATTTAGCCTCCCCAAAAGATTCTAGATGGATAAAAAATGTTAATGTGAAAAGAATCTTTCAGACCAAATTTATGATGTGTTATCCATAGCTGCAAGTTAGAAAGATTTATAAAATCAATAGGAATTACAGATGCTAAAAAACTAGGCATACATAATATCCTTTTAAAAAATATGTATAGAAAATATGTGATGAAGTGTCTATAGACAAGTGGTAGACAGGGAAAACCATTAGCATTGCATATTACAGGCAAACGGTCCATGTCTTTGATATATAAGGGTCTCTTACAAACTGATTAAAAAAATAAGGGGAAATAAAATCACCAAAGTACCAATTACTAAGACCAAGAAGAAAAATATGTCTTACTAATAGACAGCCAAATGAAAATTAGAGAGTGTGCTCAGTAACTCCTCTTGTTCTTGGCCTCTGATTGAAGGCCTTACATTAGAGGAATCCAGACAGTTTGACCCTGGTTTGGTTAGACATTGGAGTGTTAGGAGGGAGCTAAGGTTTCCTCATTCCAGAAGCTACACGGGTTTTAAAAAGAGGCCCTGTCAGCTCATAGAGGTTTTTCTCCATTTTCTTCTCTCTTCTGATGACAGAGGACCCTTTCCAACATCTACCATGGTGTATCAATTTTTTGAAGGTTATGGTGAGGTCAGCACTAAGTGAACACTGGTTGGGGACTTTCTGAATCACTGTAAAAGGGATCATGATTCTGCAACCATCGTGAGATGAGTGATGACTTCAGCATCATCAGGGCCTATCCTGGGCACAGTATTCTATAGCAGCTTCCCCATCACTCCTAGAAAAGTGCTGATGGGGAGAGGAGCTCTCCTCGAGACGCTTGACCATACTGCTTCTTTGGAAATGAACTGTGGCCCTCTCTACTCCAACCTGCCTTAAACCCACTACCAGACAGTGAAGAGATCTCGTGACTTGTGTTCCAGAACCACTAACTTACAGCAGAATACCTGCCATGCCGTATCATTCTCAGTGCCCTCTTTCAAGAAGCAGTGGAAGAAGACTTCAAGGAAATAATATCCAAAGGGCTGAGGTTCCCTTCCCATTCAAAATTGTTTTCTTTCTTTCTTTAATTAATTTACCTCCCTTTCTAATTCCAAGCACATCAGTCTACTGTTCTCTCTTCTGCATTTCTCCCTACTAACTTCAGGCCTGCCCAGGGGTACTCCAAGGCCAGTGAGAACATTCTTCTAGGAGTGTCCTGCTCTTACCATCCTTCCATTCTCGTGTGGCTGGATTGATTATGCCAAAGAGTTCATCGTTTGTGACGACTTTGGGATTGAGGTCAGTCCAGACAGGACGGCGTTTCATGATCTGATAGGTTTTATACAACGACTTCAGCACCTGAGACTTGCCAGTACCGGCACTGCCCACCACGAACACAGAGTGCCGCACCGCCAGGAGCTCCTCCAGCTGGACCACCTAGAGAGGTGTGAAATTCAATCAGTGGGTCCAATTTGTCACTCCCCTATATCCCAACTCTTCTGTGAGCCATTCTGGTGTTGGAAATGAGACTTGATGTCAGAGAGGAAGAGTTTTAACCTCAAGATATGATGGGGTGCTAAAGATAGGGGCAACATTTATTCACTAATTCATCATTCTGCCATATAATTAGTAGTCACTAACTAAGTTTCAGAGTGTGTCAGGTAAGGGAGATCACTACCCTCAGTGATTTCATAGTATGATGGAGAAGCAAGTCATGTTGACAAATTATTATCATGGAGGTGATAAGTGCTGTAACTGAGGTATTTATAAACTGTTATTGGACACAGATAGGATGAAATAATTTATTTTGTACAGATAAAGGGAACAAAAAAGCCTTTATAGAAGAGGGGGCATTTGAACTGGGACTTCAGGGAAGAGGAGGAGTTTGCCAAGAAGATTAATACGAAGGATATTCTAGGCAGAGGTTACAGTACAAACAAAAGGCTTGCGGTATGACAGAGCATCATGTGCTTTAGTGGGCTTGATGAGGCTGGAATTAAAGGGCCCCTTGGGGACTATGAAGGTTTCATTGCTCTTATTCTAGTTTGCCACCAGGCTCACCTTTCCACAATGTTGTAGGAGTGTACTTATTTCAGTGGAAATCTAATCTTGTCACTGCCATGACTCTGTTGCTTCGATAATTCTCCATATTGGTGAGGAAGTCCTAAACTCTTAGACTGACATATGAGACCTTTTTGTGGTTGACCCTAACCTGTCTCCTGCCTTATCTTTCCTCCTCCAGCATGTACATTGCAGCTAGACAATGGCTTGGAGGTGTTTAATGATGCTCTCTTATTTGTCTATGGATTACAACATAATTGTGCCTTCTGTTCAGAAGTTACCTTCCTTTATCCTGCTTCCTATGACCAGCTCCTGCACCCCTTAGTCTGGAGCAGGTGCCCCAATCTACATTCTAGTCCTTATAAATATCACAATGGTCACTTTTCTGTATCCCTATTAGATTGTCAGCTCCTTGACATCTTGGCATCAGGCTAGACTGGGCTTTGTCTCTTTTCAACATCTAGCAGAGAATCTGGCAAATTCTACATGTGGAAAAAAATATTTGTTGCAAATGTGAAGAATGGGTGGAAAAGAGGGGTGGGCTGTATAAGAAAAGATCATGGTTTGTAGATTTCTCTATATTTTTGTACAATAAGATCCTTATTAGCCCAGGAAAGTGAATTGAAGAGAAAATTCATTGGCAGGGTGCATGGGCCAATATGTTTTTTCTTCATATATTTAATTTATTTATTCTGTATTTAAAAAAATTGATAAATAATGACTCCTATATTTTTTTAAAAATAAGTGATACAGGTATTTAAAAGAATTCTACAATCATACAACCAGGGAATTAGGAGAGTGGTACTGCTAAGCTCAGTATGAAGGTAGCAGATAAATGGCTATTTAGGGAGCAATATGATTAACTTCCAGTGTGGCAGAATAATTTACTAAGATATTAATCTGAATTTTGTTTTCCATTGCATCAACATGTTTCTCTTCTCTGTCCCAGGTCATTGCCATTCCTTTGATTCCAGGCCCATATTTCTTAGAGAAGAGTCTCAGTCCTGGTTCTTATTTGCATTCTTCAGAAACTTAAATTAGGATCTTTTTAGATAAGGATCTAAAGAGATGTGAGGCCTCTGAGGAGCTGACATCTAAGGCCTGAATGAGAGTCAGCCCTGTGGAGACCAGCAGAAGAGCATCCCAGGTTGAGTGAAAGTGAGTGCAAAGGCTGTAAGTTTAGCAGAAAGTTTGGAGAGCTCAAAGAATACACAAAAAGAGCAGGAGCATGGTATAAGTAAGAAAAAATCAGATATGCAGGAATTAATAGTGAGAATTTTATTTTTGACAAATTAGTAAGGACTTAGAAGATGTTCAAGCATGAAATTGACCTGAGATCATTGAAATTAAAAAAAAAAAAAAAAAGGAAGAAGAAAAGGGGATGGGGGCGAGCTATGTTTGTTGAATGGAGACTACTATATCCTTAGATATATTTGTACAAACAACTGACTGATTGTTTGATACTGGAGAATACCTTTCTAGTTTCCTCAACATCATTTGCTCATTTCAATTGGTTGGTGAGTTAAAAATTCACACACCATAAAATTCACTTTTTTACAGTGTACAATCCAGTGGTTTTATTATATTCACAGGATTGGATAACCATCACCACTATCCAATTTTACAACATTTTCTTTTTTTAATATTTATTTATTTATTATATATTTTATATCATTCTTCATTTTAGAACATTTTCATCACCCCAAAAGGAAAAACTACACTCATTAGCAGTCACTCTCCATCTCCTTACTTTTATCTCAACTCTATACAACCACTGATCTACATTCTGCCTCTATAGATTTAACTATTCTGCACATTTCATAGACGTGATATTTTGTGAATGACTTACTTCACTTACAATGTTTTCAAAACTTTCCATGCTGTAGCATGTACCAATACTTCATTCTCCTTAGGGTTGAATAAAATTCTATTGTTTATGTATACACATTTTGTTTATCCATTTATCAACTGATGAATGAGTCATTTCTGTTTTCTGACTGTAAGAATCTATCAACTTTTGACAGTATCTTTTATAAGATACATATATAAACATCCTTATACTTCCTTCTATTGCTCCTTCTTCTTTCAGTCTTCTCTCTTCTTTTAGATAAGCTATACTTTTACATTGTCATATTTGATAATATTTAAATTCTGTTTTGTACTTATATTTAGATCTTCTGTATTTCCCATGATTCGAAGGGTTAAAGACCAGTAGTGGCTTACATTTATATGATGATAAATGTTTTTCACTACAGAAAAAACAGTTGCCCAGGATGCACTGTGTTAGGACAACTGTGTATGGACCTGGTGCCTTGACTTGATAGAAGTTGTTCTAAGTACCAGTCCAAGGTGAAATGAATACTCCTTTCTATAATCCTAATAATGACCAAGACTGGGTCACATTAACTTTTAAAAAAAGATTTAGGCTATGATTTTATTTCTCTTGGTATTTTAAATTGCTTTCTTTTCTCTATGCTAAAAGAAAAGACACCCTTTAGTTCCTATGCCTTGGAAGTTAAATAAAACACACAAGAACTTTCATCTTGTTAGTCTATTCTTACATTGAATATACTCATTTTTGAGGTTCTTTTTCTTCAAGATTCTTCCTGCTCTAATTTAAAATAATTTCTATGTAGGTCTGTTGACAGATATCATCCCAGGCTTCCTTACTTTTGATTCTAGGTTTTTTTTAATCATGATTTTTTTTTTTACCATTTAGATAATATTTTATTTGACTTTTCTTTTTTTTTAATTATTTTTTATTTTTTATTTTTATATTCCCCATACAATTGCAACCCCCTTATTTTGACCCCGATCCCTGCCCTCCTGCCCCCTACCCCCATAGAGTGTCTCTGGTTCATAGTTTTTGTTGATTTTGATTTTCACTTTCTTATAGTTATTCATTTTCCTGGTCCCTTATTTAAGTTTTCTAGATTTCTGCTATGAGTGAGACCATCCAGTATTTTTCTTTTTCTTTCTGGCTTATTTCACTGAGCATGATCCCTTCCCGTGCCATCCATGTTGCTGCAAATTGCATGTGTTTATCTTTTTTGAATGCTGAGTAATATTCCATGGTGTATATGGACCACATCTTCTTGATCTAGTCATCTATTTTTGGGCATTTGGGTTGTTTCAAAAGCTTAGCTATTGTAAACAGTGCAGCTATAAGCATAGGGGTGCAGGTGCTCTTTGGATTTGATGTTTCTGTGTCCTTTGGGTAAATACCTAGGAGTGGAATTGCTGGATCATATGGAAGCTCTATGTTTAGTAGGTCCAGAAATCTCCACACAGCTCTCCATAGTGGTTGGACCAGTTTGCACTCCCACCAACAGTGCAGGAGAGTTCCTTTTTCTCCACACCCTCGCCAACGTTTGTTGTTGCTAGTTTTTTTAATATGTGCCATTCTCACTGGTGTAAGATGGTATCTCATGGTAGTTTTGATTTGCATTTCCCTGATTACAAGTGATGTTGAACATTTTTTCATTTGCCTGTTGGCCATTTGTATTTCCTCTTCAGAGAAGTTTCTTTTTAGCTCTTCTGCCCATTTTTTGACGGGATTATATTCTTTGTTGTTGTTGAGTCTCATCAGCTCTTTGCAGATTTTTGTGATCAGTCCTTTATCATTAGTGTTGTGTGCAAAAATGTTCTCCCAGTTGGTGGGGTTTCTCTTTGTTTTTGTTATTGTCTCTTTTGCTGTGCAGAAGCTCTTTAATTTGATGTAGTCCCAGCTGTTTATCTTTGCCTTCACTATCACTGCTTTGGGTGATGTGTCAGTAAAGATGTCTTTGAAGTGCATGTCATGTAGTGTTTCACCTATATTTCCTTCTATGTATTTTATGGTTTCAGGTCTTATGTCTAGTTCTTTAATCCATTTTGAGTTGATTTTTGTGTATGGTGTGAGGTAGTGGTCAAGCTTCATTCTTTTGCATGTAGCGACCCAGTTTTCTCAGCACCATTTATTGAACAAAGTTTCTTTACTCCAGTGCATATTCTTTGCTTCTTTGTCAAAGATTAGTTGACCGTAAATCTGTGGGTTTATTTCTGGATTTTCTATTAGATTCCTTTGGTATGTATGTCTGTTCTTGTTCCAATACCATGAAGTTTTGATGATTATGGCTTTGTAGTATATTTTGAAGTCTGGGAGTGTGATGCCTCCATTCCCTTCTTTTTTTTTTTTTTCAGGAGAGCTTTGGCTATTCAGGGTTTTTTGTGATTCCATATGAATTTCATCAATAATTGTTCTATTTCTTTGAAGAATGACATTGAGATTTTTATTGGAATAGCATTGAATCTGTATATTGCTTTTGGTAGGATGGCCATTTTAATAATGTTTATTCTTCCAATCCATGAGCAGGGGAAGTCTTTCCATTTCTGTG